ACAAACAATAACAAACCATCCATTTTTCCCCGCCAAAACGGCCAGCCAGCTTGTAAATTAGGCGGCGGCACGAAATACCCAAATATACCCAAATACACCCAAATATACCCAAATATAGTATTATTTATTTTTGTTCGTATAAAATATAGATTATAATGAGAAATAAATAAGTATTTATAAAATACAATGACTTAGCCTGCTAAAGCTTTCATTCATTCCGTTGAAATGGGCAGTTAAGATGGTGTAAGAAAATAAAGTTGTGACATTTGCTTATGTATTATATAGGATAAGGTTCTTTATGAATGTACTTTCAATTTTAAATCAAGATATGATATTTGTTGTCTACACTTAGATTTTTAAGGTGTAATTTTGTTGAAATTTCATATCATATACAAGTGTCCAATGTTATTTAAAAAAAATAGCTTTAATGGAGTACATAATTATACTGTATTTTGGTTCAAAACACAGTGATAGGAAAATGTATATTTGGGTATGTTTGATTGTATCTTAGTGAAAGTGTATATTGTATTCATGATTAAAACAGCACTTTTTTAGTATAAAACCTTTATTTTTAGTATAATTGGGCAATATTTGGGTATATTTTGGCAATATTTGGGTATATTTGGGCAATATTTGGGTATATTTGGGTGTATTTGGGTATATTTGGGTATTTCGTGCTGCCCTAAATTAGGTCACCTAGTCATTCTAAATCATAGCTAACACGAACTGCCAATTGAAAATCAAGCACATAATTAAATAAATACTTATCTACATTATAAATAAAGCATAAAAAATCAATACTTACAGTTTAACCTTGCTAGTACATTTAAATTATCGCTCTGAAATAAACCCTTTCTCTTCCTGAATGGCTGCCTGTTTGTTGATGTTTTTTCATTGGCTTACATTGTCACGTGATCAAATCAACAAAGGTGTGGACTAAGTTATTTCCATTGCAGTTCTGACTTTAATTGTTTTTATCACAATTTAATCCCCGAAAAAAATATGTTGAAACAACTCCAGAATTACCACAAATATTAAAATTATCGAAAACATTAAATGTTATATAAATTGTAAATTAAGGTTTCGCATTTCACCCCTAGATAAAACATAATGGACTCAACCCAAAACAAGCGTCTCTCTCTTTATTTAATGATGTATTTACATGACCATGATCAAACACATAAATCTAGACCAATTGTAAGACGGCCTTACACGTAAACCTATTGTAACAAGAAAAATATTACATACATTCGTATGTAATATAGGTACGATTGCATACTACTTTTTGTGAAGACTTAAAGTTTGCTGCATGAAAGGTATAATGTAAAATGAACATGTCATGAGATATAGCAACGGACCTATTCCTGGTTTTTTTTGTGTAATGTGTATTTTATAACACTTGCAACAATCAATACCAAATGGTTCTATTGCATTTCTATAGTGCTAACAGGTTATAATACTGTTTAGAGATACCATAATATTATAAAAAGTGGAGATGAAAAGACCAGGGTTTTGAGGGCGAAACGTCCAGGGGTGAAACATCCAGGAGGTGTAAAGTCCAAACACCTAGAAGAACTAAACACAGTGTCCATTTATTATTCATTTATTATTTAATCTTATTCTGACAAACACTTACTGTGACAACAGACAACAGTTTAATACAACAGTAAATTAAATATGACTAAAGTGTAACAACATAAAAGGTAGTTGTACAATATAAAGGTCATCATTACACAAATACAACATAAAGGTAGCTAGCAACCGTGGAATTTTTTTTATTTTAAAAGTTTTCACATACAGCTAAAAAAGCAGCAGAGATAATTTAATTTTAAATAAAATTACAATGTCTATTATTTACTTTTAAAAAATCTTTCATTTAAGATATTACATACAGGTTCTGTACACTTGACTAGAGATAGAAAACCATGTTAATTTTAGCAGAAACTCAGTATTTTTGCCTGTATGTTATTGTTTGATCAAGTGTTAATTTCCATATAATATATATATATATATATATATATATATCTGCTGTATAACTGGTTTACTTAATACCTAAACAATTAGAAACAAGAGCTGTAGGTAGGGAAGCAATGCTGGACTATTATTAGTGCTTGACAGTAAAAAGGCCTCGATAATGTAAAATTTTCTTAGTTAACAAGGGAATAATTTTCCTTTAAAACCATGTTACAGTTATAGGCCTTGAAGAGAGTCCTATTATGCTCTCAAAGAAGAGTATAAAATTTCAACTTGTTTCAAAGCTAGATGTCAATAGAATTTGAAAATATCTGAGGTGGTATGCAAACTTAAATGTAAATTCTAAGTCGAAAAAAGGGGCATAATTCTGTCAAAATGCTTAGTACAGTTACCTGCTCCTGTCTACAGGTAAGGGTCATGCTGGTGAATAAGTGCACAAAGTTTCAAAGCCATATGTGAATGGGCTTTGAAAATATTTGAGGTATAACAAAAACTTTATAACGTAAATACTAAGTAAAACAAGAGCCACCGCCGGGCGGGGGCAACGCTCGACTTTTTACTTTTTCTAAACGCAAACATAGAAAGGTTTGAACATATATTAACGTTTCCTTTTTATAAATTTAGTTTGTCTGTCTTGTCACATTAGTTTTCTTTATATATTTTGTATATATATGAATAGAAACATTAAGCATATTTCTAAAAATAGCAACAGTACGCAATTTCTTAAAATAGCAACATGACACAATTTCTCAATATAGAAAAAATGACGCAATTTCTAAAAATACAAAAAATGACATAATTTCTAAAAATAAAAAAGTGATGCAATTTCTAAAAATAGCAACAATGATGCAATTTCTAAAAATTGACGCAATTTCTAAAAATAGAAAAAATGAAGCAATTTCTAAAAAAAGAAAAAAATGACGCAATTTCTAGATATACTAAAATAGAAATTATGACGCAATATCTAAAAATAGAAATTATGACGCAATTTCTAAAAGTAGAAAAAATGACGCAATTTCTAAAAACAGCACCAATGACGCAATTTCTAAAAATAGAAATTATGACGCAATTTCTAAAAATAGAAATTATGACGCAATTTCTAAAAAATGACGCAATTTCTAAAAATAGCACCAATGACGCAATTTCTAAAAATGACGCAATTTCTAAAAATAGAAATTATGACGCAATTTCTAAAAATAGAAAAAATGACGCAATTTCTAAAAATAGCAACAATGACGCAATTTCTAAAAATAGAAATTATGACGCAATTTCTAAAAATAGAAAAAATGACGCAATTTCTAAAAATAGCACCAATGACGCAATTTCTAAAAATAGAAATTATGACGCAATTTCTAAAAATAGAAAAAATGACGCAATTTCTAAAAATAGAAAAAATGACGCAATTTCTAAAAATAGAAATTATGACGCAATTTCTAAAAATAGAAAAAATGACGCAATTTCTAAAAATAGAAATTATGACGCAATTTCTAAAAATAGAAAAAATGACACAATCTCTAAAATTAGAAACAATGACGCATTTTCTAAAAATAGCAACAATGACGCAAATTCTAAAAATAGCACCAATGATGCAATTTCTAAAAACAGAAATTATGACGCAATTTCTAAAAATAGCAAAAATGATGCAATCTCTAAAAATACTAAAAATAGAAATTATGACGCAATTTCTAAAAATAGAAAAAATGACGCAATATCTAAAAATAGCAAAAATGACGCAATTTCTAAAAATAGAAATTATGACGCAATTTCTAAAAATAGAAATTATGACACAATTTCTAAAAATAGAAAAAATGATGCAATCTCTAAAAATACTAAAAATAGAAATTATGACGCAATATCTAAAAATAGAAAAAAATGATGCAATTTCTAAAAATAGAAATTATGATGCAATTTCTAAAAATAGAAAAAATGATGCAATCTCTAAAAATAGAAACAATGACGCATTTCTATAAAAAAAAACCAAAAAAACAATGACCCAATTTCTCTAAATAGAAACAACGACGCAATTCTATAAATAGAAACAATGACGCAATTCTATAAATAGAAACAATGACACAATTTTAGTTATTGTTGTTGTTGTTGTAAATATATATATATAGACACACACACACCAATAAATATTTAAATATGGTCATTTACTGCACAAATCTGAGAAAATTCAGTAATTTAACCTTCAAGGTCAAGGTCATTTAAGAGCCCAAGCAAAGTTGGGTTTGATAAACAACAAGGTCTGGTCCTTAAGAATGTTCTCTAATAATATGAAGTTGATCCCTTCAATAATAGCAAAGTTACAGTCAGTGACCGCCAAAACAATGAAAATTTCAATAATTTGACCTTCAAAGACAATGTCATTAATGTGTGAAGGTCAAGGTCTTCCGGTATATCTTTAACAGTAATCTTTGAAGATTATTATGTTCAAGTTTCAGGACAATCCATTCAAAAATAACAAACTTACAGCCAATAAAAGCCAAAAAAATGAAAATTTCAATAATTTGACCTTCAAAGTCAAGGTCTTTTATGAGTGAAGGTCAAGGTCTGGCTGGTTATTTTTAAGGGATATCCTTAAAGATTATTATGTTCAAGTTTGAAGACAATCCATTCAAAAATAACAAAGTTACAGCCAATAACAGCATGAACAAGCAAAAATTGGACTTTTAACCTTGAAGGTCAAGGTCATTTATGGATGAAGGTCAAGGTTAGTGTGGTCTACTGAAAGGTCTTGTCCCAAGGGTTGTTGTGGCCAAGTATGAAGACAATACACAAAGAAATAAAAAAGTTATGATCCAGGTACAAGTTTTCGGACGGCAACGGCAACGGCAACGGCAATGGCAATACGGCAACGGCAACGGCAACGCCGACCTGACTGTAGCAATACCTCTATTTTTTTTATTAAAACAAAAAAAAATGTTTGGGTGACTACAAAAGCTCTACTTATTTTAATCGAACAGTCAAGCTAAAAATCAAAGAGTGTTGCCAAGCAGCCACAATATATTCCATAATTTTGTTTTAAATTTAAACAAATTTTAAGTGCACAACTGGCTATTTGAATGAACCAGAACTTCACGAGTCGGATATGTCGCCTTGTGAACTATGTAGTTTAGGAGAAATGGCCAGAACAAGAAAATTAACAAAGGGCAATAACTCAAAAAATAAGAAGTGCAGAGCAGCATTTTCTTTGCACTATACTTCTTATCAATAAGATATATCATCCTATGAAGTTTCAAGTCCATAGCTTTTATAATTTATGAAAAATTAATAAAGGGCAATAACTCAAAAATAAGAAATGCAGATTATTGGTTCTTGTACAATGCACATTTTTTTATTGAGATCTATCATCCTATGAAGTTTCATGTCCATAGCTTTTGTACTTTAGGAGAAATGACCTGGACAAAAATAAAATATGAAAATTAACAAAGGACCATAACTCAAAAATTAGGAAGTGCAAAGTACCAGTCCTTGTGCACTGCACTTTTTCTAAATGAGATCTATCATTCTATGAAGTCTAAGTCCATAGGTTTTATAGTTGAAGAGAAATGGCCCAGACAAAATTAAAGTATGAAAAATTAACAAAGGGCAATTATTCAAAAATTAAGAAGTTCAGAGTACTAATTCTTTTGCACTGCACTGCACTTCGGGTTATCATATATTATTTTGTTATAAATTTCCAAATTTTCAGGCATGCAGGAGATTAAGTTCTGAAAGAATTACAATGATATCAAACATACAGAGTCTTTTTAATTTTAATATGTTCTTCCTGTTAAAAATCCTTTTTAACTGAAGGAAATTTTAGTCGCCTAGCTACCATGCAAATTTCTTTGATTTTGATGCTTCTGTTCAGGATTTATGTAAATTTTACAAAGTCATTCTACACTAATATCAACATAAAAAATTAACTCATCTATCATTGTCATAGATAAAATAGTTTTCATATCCTAAAAGTATAAAATATTTAAAACTTGACAGCAAGTACTCAAGCTTATCACTTCACATTTTATGCAGTCATTTTCAATGAGATATAGTCACACAAACAACTTAAACTGTTTATTTATCTTGAAATCAAGACTTTAAAAACTTATAAAGACAGGATTGCAGTTGATCAATTCATAAAATGCATAGGTTCAATGCAATTTTATACTTAAAGTGACATGACAAATGTTGTATTACACAAAACACAATCACATGAAATGTTTTAACATTATGGAAGTAAGTTACTGGTAAGCTGACATAGGCAACCATTAATTAATATGATCCACACACTAGTCAATATAGCATTAGTCCTTATAGCAGCAGGCCTCATGGGTTTTACTATTAAAATGACTTTCAATGGCTTTTTAGATCATCTATAAGCAGTGGGATATTGTGACCATGTCTTGATGACTGTGGGACAATACTGGCAACCTGTTGCATTGTTTCTCTACTTTCCAGAGCATGTTGAGACTGACACTTCCATGAAGTCCTAAAATACATATAAATTAGAAGTTTAAAAAAATTGTATAGGATATAAATAGCACTTAAAATGAAACTTAAAACAAGAATGTCGAACGACACACATATGCCCCCTTTTCTAGCCCTTGACACACATAATTGGTAGTTTTGTTACAGAAACTTGCCATAAATGGGTACATGGAAGTGTTCAATTATGGGAAAAAAGAAAAATAATGGAGACTTTGTGATAAATAGTTTTCAAATGATAATCAGATATTAGAAAACTACAGACCAAAAATCAATAGAGGCCACCAATCAAAATCAGAAATATGATGACCCTGTGACCTTGACCTTTGACCCAAAAATTACTATGGTTCATCCACTAATTATGATTAATCAATATGTGAAATATGACAACTTTGTGATGAATACTTTTCAAGATAATCAGCTAAAACCATTCTGACATTTAAGACCCCTGTGAGCTTGACCTTTAACATAGTGACCCAAAATCAATAGGGGCCATCTACTAGTTATGACCAATCAATATGTGAAATATGACTTCTTTGTGCTTAATATTTTCCAAGATAATCAGCGGAAACCATCTTGAAATTTGAAGCCTCTGTGACCCTGACCTTTACATAGTGACCCCAAAATCAATAGGGACCATCTACTAGTTATGGCCAATCACTATGTGAAAAATTAAAGAGTTTGTGATAAATAGTTTTCAAGATAATCAGCGGAAACCATGTGGTCTATTGACGGACAGATAACATTAGCAAAACAATATACCCCTTTTCTTGGAAGGGGGCATAATTAAGATTATTTTTAACTGAATATTCTTTTCACAACTGAAAAAATACCATGGCATAAAAGAATATTTATACAAGAGGGCCATGATGGCCCTAAGGTCGCTCACCTGTATGTAGGCCTCGGAGCTGGGCCAGTGAGTTTGAACCCCAGGGCTTTTATTTGAACAAACTTGGAAGACACCTATAAGAAGATGATTCATGATATACACACTTATAATGAAAAACAATGATCTGCCGTCCCCTACTCCTGGCAGGGCCAATTTTAACCAAGGGCTTTTATTTGAACAAACTTTGTAGACACTCACTAGAAGATGTTTCATGCTAAATATATTAGCTCTAGCTCTTTGAGTTCTTTAAAAGAAGATTTTTTTAGTTTTTTACTAAATACATATGGGGAAAATCAATGACCCCCTGGGGCGGGGCCAATTTTGACTCCAGGGCTTTTATTTGAACAAACTTGGTAGACACCCATTGGAACATGTTTCATGCTAAATATCTCAGCTCTAGCTCTTTGAGTTCTTTAAAAGAAGATTTTTTAAGTTTTTTACTATATACATATAGGGAAAATCAATGACCCCTGGGGCGGGACCAATTTTGACCCCAGGGCTTTTATTTGAACAAACTTGGTTGACACTCTTTAGAAGATGTTTCATGCTACATATCTTAGCTCTAGCTCTTTTGGTTCTTTAAAAGAAGATTTTTTTAAGTTTTTACTATATGCATATTGGGAAAATCAATGACCCTACTGGGGCAGGGCCAATTTTGACTCCAGGGCGCTTGTTTTTTGAACAAACTTGGTAGACACTCACTAGAAGATGTTTCATGCCAAATATCTAAGCTCTAGCTCTTTGGGTTTTTTTAAAAAAGAAGATAATTAATGTTTTTTCTTTCGGTTTGCCATGGCAACCAGAGTTCTGCATGGAATTAAATTCTTTGAACAATTTTTAAAGGTGACCACCAAAGGAACATTCCTGAGAATTTGGATGAAATTGGCTTAATGGTTTATGAGGAGATGTCAATTAAAGTAAAAGTTCAGAGACGGACGGCCGGAAGGCAGACGGACGGACGCTGGACGAAAAGCGACCACAAAAGCTCAACCTGTCACTTTGTGACAGGTGAGCTAAAAATGTATGGCAAAGGAACACATTTGACATTAAGAAAATTACAAAAAAAAATACCTTTATATTTATAAATATTCTTAATATTTTTTACAATATGCTCATGATAAAATTTCAAAAAATATTATGGCAAACTAACCTGATCCCTCTGCACAAACACAAATCTCATGGAACTTTCTTGGGGTCCTAATATATATTGAACCAACATATTGAGAATAGCTAATTGGGATAGTGCACTTGCTGGGCATAATCCAAAGGGTAGGAGTACTCTACATCAAGAGTGCATGGTAGCGTGCCTTGAAATGTACAGTAGTAAATTTATAAATTATGTATTACTGATATACAGCTTTTAACAATTTATATAACAGATTTTGCTAAAGTCCCAAAGTTTTGCTGCCAATGTAATTCCTTAATATACAGTCGAACTTCGTTTGCTCAAAGTCCGAGGGCCTGTGCAAATTTGTTCAAGAGAATCGGTAGTTCAAGCCAACCGAGGTTGAACTATTATTACATAAACAAAGGCCTCTAGGTTTTCAAACCTACATCGGTCAAATGATAATACGTCAATATAATTGTTTGCAGTACATTCATTTGTTGAATTGTCCTAGTTAGAATTATTATCCTATTGAAACAGTATTAACGGTATACTGTGTTAATCTATATTCATTGCATATTGTAATTGGTTGGGTTCGATTGGGCAATCATTAAAACTGTGAACAATGTTCAAAAATATATTTATATGTTTATTATGAATTTTTATTAAACAATGCATTAATTAAATATTAACAAAAGAACATCTTACAGCAGCATATTTTTGTAGTCATTTCCTAAATAAACACACATACAAGTATCATTCTATAAATAGATTACACTGTTACAATTCACATTACATGAACCACGGTTGTAATTAAAGCCGTCCAGGTAAACGTCATTTATTTATTGACTTTTGGCATTTCAGGGGTTATTTTCTTTTTATTATTACTAAAGACGGCAAATATACAATTTTATCACAACAAACAAATTGGTATCAACACCTTTTAATTTGTATCAGTTAACCTTAATTGCCCTTGTCACCATCACATGGTGTTAAAAACATGTGTCGCGCCTGTCAATTATTTAGAACCTGTCGACATGCAACTTTTGTTGCCTGTTTGTGTTCGACCAAAAAGGTGTGATTTACACTATATTTCTTCTGAAGGGACCAGAGATCAGGTTCGAGAGTTCGAGCCATGGGTGTTCGAGCAATCCGAGGTAGAACAATATATTTTATATAGGAATTTGCCGGGACTTGGGGATGAGTTCGAGCGAAGGGAGGTATTCGAGCGATCCAAGCTCGAGCGAACAAAGTTGAACTGTATGTCCTTTCTAGAAATCTTGTCATAGGGCTATTACTTTTTTTTTATCAAAATATTAGCTAAAATTCAGGCTTATAAAATTCATGAATGTGGTTCTAAGTGTCAACAAACATTTTGATATTTTGATGTGGCATCATATGTTTATACAAACATAGTGCAAATACACAGTGTAACACTATAGATGTGTCAATGAAAAATTTTTCTTTTCTGCTTGAACAGTCTGAATGCAGGATATGTGATTTATAGAATATTATATTAGTGTAGGTCAACTTAACCTTTTACCCCATTAGCATATTGCGAAAATTGGCCGTTTTCATCGAAAAGTCCCTGTAACAAGTTCAAACTGCTGTGTCTATGAAAAATGCTTCAAATTTATATAGTTAGGACATCCTTTAAAAAAATGTTTGTTTGCAGAAACGCGACCGACTCACAAAATTTACCCCTTCTCAAAAAAATTTTTCATGGTCTGGATAAAAAATTTTTTTTTGAATCAGAAAATTATGCCTTGCGCTTTGTTTTCGTTCTTTTAAAGGTTAATAGAAGAAACAAAATGTAGGTCTTATTAAATTAGAATTCAGTTATCAATTAATTAATTGTTACCAGATTATCAAACCATATATTGTCCAGCATTTTGAAATTCCATGTTTACTTATTTATTAATGAATGTTCATAAGCAGTAGATGACCCCTATTATTAATTTCGAAAACTATTTATCACAAAGTCTTCATATTTCAAATACTGATTGGTGATACCTATTAGAGAACCCCTACTGATTTTGGGTCACTTGTTCTCTAATATCTCATTATCTTGAAAACTATTTATCACAAAGTCTTCATTATTTTTCAGTTTTCCATAATTGAACACTTCCATGTACCCATTTATGGCAAGTTTCCATAAAAAAAACCCTACCAATTATGTTAGTCAAGGGCTAGAAAGGGGGGAATCAACATACCTGCACAATGCACTATAACCTTATCTTCCTATGTTCTACATTTGCCAATAACACGCACACTTTACTATCAATCTACCAATGTTCCAAATTTGCCAATATCGACTCTTCAACTCCACAAACAAAGCCAAACCTAAAAAGGGGGAAAAGAACAATAATGAAGGCAAACAATGATAAATAAAGGGACTGTCACAGGAACACAACACCACACATGCCTACTACCAGTTTTTGATGCAATTACTTTTTAACCTAAAAAGATAAGCATATACCTTGCTTTAAGGCTTTTGTGTTTCCAGACATGCTTATTTACAATAAACTTTGCTTCCCAAAATTGGTAAAAAATAGAAACTTAAGATTTTACATTTATCGTTTCGAGCAACCATCAACTAAATCTTTAACAGACTGTTGGATATTTTTTATGCACACCAAATTTTCTTTCTTCAACTTTAAATTTTTCTAGAAAAACAAATGCACATAAAAAATTCAGTAACAATTTCTTGCCAAATATTAAGGCAAATGCATAATTTCTTTTCTTTAATAAGAAAAAGTATTCATCAACAACAAAAGCACACACATGCACAAGCACTATAAATGTTGATAGCAGCTCCAACCAAACCCATGATTTCCACAAAGAAAACAAATTACTTACCTGAACACTTCGCTATATCTGTGCCTCCCAACGCCTTAGTTGTGCCAATACCAATGCTTTTAACTCCATAAACACATCTACACTTAAACTTTTAAAACTTCACAAGTACATTATGCCTAAAAAGGATAAAACAATCTATTAAATCTTAACCACCCAAACGTCCTAAATAGTGCTAAACAAAACATGTGTCACCTTTATATAAAATAACATGTGTCTATTTTCAACCCAACTTTTTGTAACATTTTCCTTTAATCAAGGAAAAAGCATTTCCCCACAATAGCCACGCATGGCAAATCAAATTGAAATAATTTCTTCTTCCACAAATATGAAGGTAAATACCATTTTCACATGTTTAAATCTGATTTCAGGTTCCCCCCTTTTCTAATTTATTGCCCTATTCTTTTCCCACCAAAAAGTCACAGGCACTCCATGCGCCGATGTCACTGACTATACTGCTACCGACTGAAGATAATTATTTATTTTTCCCGAAAAAATCTGTTCCCTCTAGCATTAGTTCTTAAATAAATTCTTAACCAAAATGTCAAATGTTTAACAAATAGTTTTTGTTCTTTTCATTAAATAGGAACAAAAAAATATACCCAAAAACTAATAAGGAAATGCAACTCTAGCATAAAATGGAAGTAATTTGGGCTTCTCATTAGGAAATTGTCATGACATTTCATAGTGTGCTGCAGTGGTTTTCCCCTATACAACTGATACCGGTAAAAAGGCACCGCTCCCAATATAAAATAGACAACTAATTCCCCAATCCATGACCGATAAATCCCCAGGACAACACTGAAAATTCCTCAAAAGAATCATCAAATTTTAAGGTGGACATAAACAGAAATACCATTGTTAAGCGATACTGTATGCAATAAAAACCAAGTATATATATACCACATGAGTGATATTTCCTGAAACATTATTTTTTCCTATTGAACTAAATCAATAAATATTATTATGGTTAAAAATATTAACTTTCTGAGTTTTATCAAAGGATAACCCACCAATTGCAGCCAAAAATAACCAAAAAAATTTTGCCGAAAACTGCAAGCAAAAATCTCAACAATGGAGGTTGCCATTTTTTTCTTAGCTATATCCTGTACTGAACGTACTATTTCTGGAAATCAGTTGCTAACAAAATAATGCCATTTTCTTGGTTATTTTTATGAAAGTAATATATTTTGTATTGAAAATGACTTGTATGGAGCCGAAGTGTGTCACAGATACACTATTACACCTATAGTATGCCCCATTAAATTTCATACAATAATGGAAGTATAAAAAACCATTCACCACCATACATAATAAGATGTCACACCACAAAGATTTTTTTGCATGATGATAAAGTTTTTTTAGGGGAAAAAAGATATATTATATAGAATTATTAACCTCATATTTTCCCCAAATCGACATTTTCCACATATCTTTCCCCTCCCTACCAGCACCCAGCATCTTCCCCTTCCGTAAAAAAAAACCCCTGAATTGTAAAAGGAATAAATTTGTACTGTGCATCAAAACAAGTTTGTTGACATTGATTTCCCATGTGCGTAATTAGATCAAAATGTGTATTAACTGTGAAGAAAGCAATGCATTCCTTGCATATATTTATAGCATATAGGGGTACATTTGTCGTAAATTCAGAATTATTTCCTTATAGAATGCCAATTTCCTGTGCCCACTTCATCTGCTCTTTGCACAACGTACTGTTCAAACTGCATTGGCCGCCAAGGAACAAACAGTGTAAACAACAATTACATTTATTTCCATAAAGATTCAATTTAAAGATCACTATTCAACATTTATTGTCTCAACTTGAACATCTCTTCTTAACAAAGATAATTTCAAGGAACAAACAGTGCAAAAAAACAAGTACCATTATTGTCATAAAAATTCTAGTTAAAGACCAATATTCAACATTTATTGTCGCGACATCTCTTCCTAACAAAGATTATTTCAAACAACACGTACGTGTTCACTGCCAACTTTTCAATTTCTGTTGGTCATGCGATCATACCTTTGAATACTTCTATAGTAATTCACTCCTAAATTTTTTTCATAACAATGTTAACAATCCATACCGAAATAGGTTTCTAATAGAAGGCCGAGTTGACCTGGTCCGAGTTAGTATAACCTGTACGAAATTTTGGCACGGATTCTGGGCGGAATTGGCACGGAATTGACACGGAATCAGTGATTTCTGGGCGGACCAGGAACGGAAACGCAAATTCCGTGTCATTCCGTCTCACAAGAAAAATATTTTGTTCACTTTTCTGGGCGGAAAACTAGAAAAATTCCGGCTGGAATTTTATTTGGAGCAGAATTTATACTTAAACATTTCATCTTGGACAGAATTTTCAACTTTGAAATTTTCTTGGGAAGGAATGCTCTTTACTATGGGTGGAATTCTATATTTAAACATTTTTCTTGAACAGAATTTCACATATAAGATGTCTAAATCATAATTGTTAACTCTTGTTTTTGCACTTGCAGACATTGAAATTTTACCAACTGTACTTATTATTTTTGTTGAAGCATGATACTTGACCAATAATTACAGGTGTATTTTTAGAATAAATAGGGTTATTTTTTAGACATTAAAATATGCCTAAACAATGTTTTTAAATATTGTGGCAAATGATATATTGTCAGACTAATTTAGCAAATCTTTTTTGTACTGAAAAACAACTGTAATAATCTTAGTGTAGAACTTGAAAACATTCACCTCCAAAACAAATGCTTAAGTTTATAAAAAGCAACATTGAAATAAGAATGCTGTTTAAATTTGAATATCAGGACAGCCACAGGACAAGATAGTGTGCTTGCCATTTTAAAACTCTAAGAAATCATGATTTTGTTATAAAAAATAAACAAAAACAAAACAAAAACATTGCATGAAATAATCTCATATAGTATGCCCTTTTAATCTATATAGAATTGATCAGCCAATTTATGCCCAATAATTGCTTTCATTTAGGTAAATAAATACTACAATATATGTCCACTGAGATTTTACACTACACAGATCAGAGCTCTGATAAAACTCAACTGACCAGCAGTTTCCCACCATCTTAAACTCTTTGCATGACTAATTTACTCCACTGGTCATTCCAACAGATCAGGCTGTTCCATTGAATTATTTTGGGGAGAGATAACATTATAAATTTCATATGCAGAATTTGTGAAGGACATCGCAATTTTTTTTTTGTTCAGAAATTTGTAATGATTTTTAAATTCTATATATATATCTATTTGTTACTTGAATTTTTGTTACATTCAATGAATGGAGGTTGAGATGATGAGTAAATTAACCCTGTTTTACATAATGATTGACCTGTCCATGGAGTTATACAGTTGTGAATTTTGAATTCTAAGATATCTGGGTCAGCAAAAAGAGTGCAAATAACAGAGAATGTACTTAATATTTTAACAATTTTGGAGATATACTTTTGTTTAAGATCTCAAAGTGTTTTAGTATTGGTATGATAAATAAGTGTGAAAACATGGGACAAGGAGATGAACAACATAATCAGGTAATTATAAACCTTTAGTTACATTAATGCTGAAACAAGTTTTATATCAAACTATCAATGGTAGCAAACTAAAATTTGTAACAAGAGGTCAATGTTGTTTTTATATTTTCAACTTCATACATTTGTTTTTTTCTGATAATTGTTTTAAATCTTTATTACATGTTTAATGACTGTAAAATATAAATTATTCAATGATTCTATATAACGATTGTGTGTATTGTATAAATTAATAGCATGTAGTAGATCTTTTTCATTTCCTGGAAATTAAACAAATTAAGTCAATTTGATTAAATAGGAATAAATGGTACAAATTCAGAAGTTTTGTACAGCTGAACAGGGTCATCATAATCATTTATTATTTTACATGTATGTGTTGTGTTTCCAATGGAACAATCTAAAATTACATTTTACACTCATATTTTTCAGACTGGGAGTTAAGTGCTGACTGTGAGATGCAAGGTGTTTCAATAAAGATGTGCAGTATTAATCCTGAAAAGGTATATTTTTAAATCTCAATACTTTACTATTCAACATCTTTCCTTGAAAAAATACATAACCAGTAATAAATAGTGTCACAAATAAAGCAGTTAATTAATTCTTATACAGAGCAATTCTTAAACACTTGTGCACTGAAATAACATACTGCGTAAGCTTTAGTATTTTTGAATATGCATCAGCACTGTTAATATTTAATACTGTTGAAACATAAAATTTGATATTATCAAAAAAATATGAAATATAACTGCATATAATTATGCAATCAAACATAATTCATTACTACATTTTTGTTTAATTAATTATTAATTTTATTATTAAAGGTGAGCACAACCACAAGAAGTTCTTGGAAAACACAGGCAGTGGACTTAAAACAGACATCAATTAAAGAAATAGTAATTTAAATAATCAGAAACATTTGAAACAAATTTATGATTGAAACACTCTCAGCAAAAAAATTGCAAAAAAAACAAAGTGTTGGATTCTAAGAAAACCAGTACCTACCAAAACCTGCAGGTAGAAAAAAACTGTTTGTGTTATAGTGAATGTATGGTATTCTATTCTGTATTTGGACTAAAGGATATGTATTAAATTTTGTGAAAGAAAATTTAATGTGATACATTATTGATATTTTTATCCCAAAAAAATGTGATCATGTTAAACTCTGATACATTATTGATAATTTATCCCAAAAAAATGTGATCATGTTAAACTCATAAAAATTCTGCCCCCATGAATTCTGTCCCAGAATTCCGCCCAGAATTTTGTTTGACAATTCCGTTCCAAAATTCCGTTCCGAAATTCCGCCCGAGATTCCGCTTCAAAATTCCGCCCCAAGATTCCGCTTCAAAATTACGCCCCAAGATTCCGCTTCAAAATTCCGCCCCAACTCATTTGCATATTTCGTCCCAATTCCGCCCAGAATCCGTCCCGTTTCCGCCTGGAATCCGGCCGGAATCCGTGCCAAAAGCAAATGGTTTAACACTTGTATATTTGGGGGAGAATTTAAATTTCTGGGCAGAATCTGCCATTGAATTCCGCCTCATTTTCCGTGCAGAAAATTTCGTACAGGAAGCCCAAGTTGACCCTTTGCGGCAAAAAAAAAACACACACAAAGGCCATGCCAGCAGCAATTTCTCTCCCTTTAAGAACCCAAAGTTAGCCTCCTGGCTTCGACGGAAAAGCTATAGCAAAAATTTCTTATTTGATTAGCAATTTAAGATAAAAATTTTTTAGGAAACTGCGCAATCTAAAATTTAATGTATACATTGTATTTCCTTTTGAAAGAGACCATTTATTGAAATTTGTCATAAAAGAAAGAAAATCACAGGCGAATAAACCTTGAATATTTACAATGACCATGTCAACATTTAGGCACCTTACCATGTCCGCCACACATGCCAGTACTTAGAGTAGAGAAAATTACTAAATCGACAAAAAACCACCGTTTCAACAAAAATTAGGCCCGAGAGAAAGTGCTACCATGGATTTATATGAATTATGGTGGTTTCGTCAAACTACTGTTTCGGCGGACTTACATTATGAAGAGGTGCGAAAGAGGTTTCGTCAATCTTATTTTAAAATTAAAGGCATAGTAGGCATGGTTCATGTATATAAAGTGGTTTTATCATCAATTTGTTTGTTGTAATCAAATTATGACACAAAATTTCATTAATGAATAGAATACATTGAAGAAGTATGTCTATTTATTATACCTATTTTGATAATGATTTGTTTGTTATTGGATTAATTCAATAAGTTTTGAGAAAAAAAATATTAAAAAAAAAATACATTAAAGCCTCATTTGACGCCTGGTTGATGTAATGACTACTTCCCAACTACTGAGATTATGCACCCACAATCCAATAACTTCAACGACAGGATTTATGAGGACAGTTTTTAAGTTTTATATTGAGTGATGATAAAGAATGAAAAAAGATTGTTGTTGTTTATTATGTAAAAAAACCATAGTAGATTCTCTTTAATGCTATGCCTGTATCAATTGTTTATATAGAGATGAATAAAGTATTTTAAATAATACGTACAAAATCATGACACAAATATTCTTAATTTGGGTTTTTAGAAAAATATTTTTACATTTATTTTTTGTATGCCTTGTTTTTGTGTATATATAATCAGATTATAAAATACATAATTAATTCTTTCTCTTCCAGGTTTTACTTTTCTGTGTATAAATTATAATGTTAATTTTATTCCCATTGATAACATTTGTCCTTCTGTTTAAGCTTTTACCATTTGTGGATACAGTTCAACATAGATTAAGAAAAATATTTTTTATGTTTTTACAGACTTCACTTTATCTATATTTGTGTAAATTTTAAATCATTTTTCTTTTTTCAGGCTTCACTTTTATACGTACATCACAACATGTATCTATTTTTATGTTGTTTTGTTTACTGAGATCTTTTGTGTTGAGTTAAGCTTTATATGTAGAATATAACTACTATACTAAATAAAATAATAAATATAAGGTTTATATAATTTTTATAATTTCCAATATCTTGTCTTTAATACATGTCCTTGAAAATGCGTGCTTCTCTCCATTTTGTTAAGATGAATTGTCTTAATATTATTTGCATGTGTATGCTATGCCTCTTTATGTAATGTACGTTTACATGCTATGGCTCATATTGGCATGTGTGTACATTAATTGAGTTCTGAAATATAAAATTACTAATTTAGTAATTAGTTCGCCGAACCGGTAGTTCGACGAAACAACTCTCGCTCATTTATTTTATATCGTCAATTAAAGTCCGTGGTGCTACGTAAGTTTAATGCACAAACTATTTACTACTTGAAATCACTTTATAAAAAATATACAACCTTCAGAGCAGGCAACACACAGATATATACAAACAATAACAAACCATCCATTTTTCCCCGCCAAAACGGCCAGCCAGCTTGTAAATTAGGTCACCTAGTCATTCTAAATCATAGCTAACACGAACTGCCAATTGAAAATCAAGCACATCATTAAATAAATACTTATCTACATTATAAATAAAGCATAAAAAATCAATACTTACAGTTTAACCTTGCTAGTACATTTAAATTATCGCTCTGAAATAAACCCTCTCTCTTCCTGAATGGCTGCCTGTTTGTTGATGTTTTTTCATTGGCTTACATTGTCACGTGATCAAATCAACAAAGGTGTGGACTAAGTTATTTCCATTGCAGTTCTGACTTTAATTGTTTTTATCACAATTTAATCCCCGAAAAAAATATGTTGAAACAACTCCAGAATTACCACAAATATTAAAATTATCGAAAACATTAAATGTTATATAAATTGTAAATTAAGGTTTCACATTTCACCCCTAGATAAAACATAATGGACTCAACCCAAAACAAGCGTCTCTCTCTTTATTTAATGATGTATTTACATGACCATGATCAAACACATAAATCTAGACCAATTGTAAGACGGCCTTAGACGTAAACCTATTGTAAAAATAATACTATGACCACAGCAGATTTCGTACAGAAAATAATACTATGACCACAGCAGATTTCGTACAGAAAAAATCTAAGAAATACACTATTAATTGCGGATGATTTTAACCAATTTTTTTTTTAATGAGACATATCCAAGAGAAATAAAAATACAAATGACTTATATTTTATTGTCTGTATGCCCACTATGATATAACACGAAGCAATTCTAAATAGCATTCTCAAATGTATAATGTATTATGTTTGAAGTTTATTTGCCTGGATTTATTCTAGAAATATTTCGTGGATAGTTTTTCTATTTACATATCATTTCTTAGAATAAATCGATAAGGACACTGATTTACAAGTTTGACCAGAGTTTTTAAGCATAAATTTCATTCTGTATTTAAGTGCTTGAAAGTAGAAAATCTTAATTATATCAATTTGGGACACAAAATATATTGCTCTACAAATCTCGAACTTGTATAGAACAAATTTTCTCTGTTATATATTTTGTGTTTTGTTGTTTTTTTTTTTTTTTGTTTTTTTTTTGTTTTTTTTTTCTAAAAGAAGCCTTAATGTCTCTCCGGTTGCATGTCCGTCGCATTCAGTGCTGCAGCACTTTGATTATCCTTAGTTCTTAACTGTATTCTCACTTACGGCAATGACCTCTGTAATTTCATAACAAAATCTTGCAATATTGTATAAAAAAGCTTATAAGTTAACGTATATATTTTATAGGGTTTGTGTATCATAACACATCATTTTGTTGTTATGCATTATTGAAGCTTCTATGTCTCTTATGTCACAAAAAGCGATTAAATCACGCTGGAATTATATGGAATCAGATTATGAAGACAAACTTTAGCTACACATCCATTAGTGTAAGTACTTTTTCTACGGGTTTTTGAAAGCATTATGTCAATGCCGTCGAATAAGATGGATTATATGAATGATGATTTGTCTAAACAGACGTAAAATTACGCTGGTTTATGTAAGGATGTTTATGCACGCCTGAATAAAAAAAAAGTCAGTGACAGGGATATATATGCTAGAGTAGCTGTTCTTGGGTGGCATCCAGAGGAAATTGAAAAAAATAACTTAAAAAAGTATTACCAATGAGACACTAACATAGTGACATATCAAATAGTCATAAACAAGAACCACAGGCAAGGTAGATGATATTATAACAGTATATAATATACATTGTTTGGCTTCTTTACAAAAGACAAAAGGCGTATCATTTTTTGTTCCTTTATTGTCTTAACTTCAAAATATATATGTCCAGCTTTGACATTAACACAACTTTCTTGCTGTATATTGTTCTTGTTTTATTAAAACAGCAGCCATAAAAGAACAAAGTTTTGAAGAACTTTCTCTGTAAAGGTCAATCTGTGTTAAGTAACTTGCAACTGAGGGATCGCCCCTTTTCAACACCCCTTTTCAAGATTTAAAAACTTCACAACAGCAGGTGTCAAATAACCTGTGGCACATGTTAACAGTGTCCCCGTCCTTCATGTCGGTGTTGTCATATTGTCCTGTCCTTTGAGATCATTGATTCTAGCACAGTAAGTGTTGAAGATTGAATACCACTGAAGACGGTGCTAGGGGGTGTGATGGATTTTGCACTTTTCATTATCGTTCATGAAGAGAATAAGACCGATTCTGCATGTAATTTTGTTCTTTTAATTGCTCCCGAGGGATCATCTTTTTCCAGATTTTTATCTGTTCTGTTGTCGAATAATAAAAAGCGTGCCGGATTTAATCAGCCAACAGAAATGTTATCTTTTCTCTGAATATAAAAAATATGAGAGCTGTGAATATTGAGATTTCTTGCCAAAACTTTGCCAATGTTGTATTAATTGAATTCTGTTAACTCGAAGTACCTATTCGATTTATAGATGAGAAGAATTCAATAATCGAAAACAGAAAAGGGTGAATTGAAATGGTGATATTTATTGACTCCTAGAAATTGTGTACTATTTTGCTTAATTGTCAAATAAAATTTGCAATGTTAACATTAAGGTTAATGTTTTACAATTCATATTGGATATAAGAAGTTGTTAAATTTTGCAAAT